TTTCTTACACTGTGGCAGCATTGAATTGATTAACTTCCGTGGCCACTCAAATTTCTGAGGGAGCAACTGTGTCTCTCCTAGCACATACTAGGTGTACAGTGAATGTTCGTGGAATTTGCTGAATGGATGTGAGATCCAGAGGATGTTATGATGAAGCCTTTCATCATATTTACTTCTGACGAAGTAATTTATCCAGTATTTTGTGGGTGCAAGTGATAATATAATGTTCAGAGCCTTCTTTTAAACTCAACCGTGCATTCATATTGAATTCATCACATATAATGCTAATTTAATGAATGGCTATAATTTCTTTATAATATGTCATTAACCTTGTTCACAGTTTAAGGGGGAAAACTGTGATAAATAGCTTGGTGGAACACACAGTAGTGGTCTTTGTAGGGCTATTAAATTCCTATGAAAATGAGACACATTAAAATGTCAAAAGGCAAGTTCATAGGAAGAGTTAGTAGGTAGGCCCAGTTTTTATTTTCTTGAGTTTTAAAGTAATTAGTTTCATGAAGTTATTTATTGGGGTAACACTTGAAGTTGAGAATTTGTGTAATTTTTCCCTGGTAATATTTTAAAATATTAGCTATTTAGCTCAACACATGTATTCTATTTATAGATTTACTCTATTTACTTATTTATTTATTTATAACTAAGGTTTTAAGCTTAGAGTCTACTTGAATATTGCATTATTATAAGGCACGAGTTACTTTTAGAGTGTTCAAATAAAATAGAATTATGAGGAAGAGAATCGTAAGAAGAAGTTAGCTATTTTTATTCAATTAATTACCAATTATTAATTATGAAACACAGCCAAATTATAGCACAAGTCTCAAAACAATGCTGGTATTTTTATTTGTATGATGAAATGAGTGAAAAAGTGCAAAAATGATATTTATGGAAAATTTACAATCCTGTAAGCTCTAGAAATCCATCTACCATTTGTTTTTAAGTAAGTACGTGTTGAAATCCTACTCTGAACATTTTTATGTCCTTGCTCATAGCAAACATGTTGTATCATTTTTGAGTTAGGTTTGCAATAAAGATTAATGAGTTAGTGTTTCAGTTTTTATGTAGCAACAACAACAAGAATTTTTCCAAGCGAGGGGGAGCGTGTGTAAAACCAGCGGAAGTTCCACAGACTTTTGGACTCTTCTGTTCTTGCGTATCAGTCTCTGGGTGTTTCCTGTCTGCCCTCTCGACTACCTATACAGCTGTTTTTCATGTGTTTCTCAGACTTGGAGAAAGACCAAGCATTTTTGACAGCTCCATGCTGAACTGCAGTATACACTTGGCCACAGGTCACGTTTGCATTTCCTCACTTGTATTTTTGCTCGTTGTGTAAAAGAAATACGAGCAGAGAGAGATTCAGAGAGCATGCGGCGTGCTGAGTAATGGTTGTCTCCCCTTGTGGATGCCCCTCCACTTACTCCGCTGTGTCGATTGCACAGGAAGGAAAAGACAGCAGAGACTGGAGGAGATGGTGTTCAGGGCTGAGCCTCCATGGGGCCCATGCTACTATAATCATGAATGATGGGAAATACTCTGTGTCATGCCTGGGAGAAAGAACTGGGCATGGACACACACACACACACCTCTATACCATGTTGGTGAATAGACTATAATTTAGTGGAGAAAACTGCTAATCTAGCAGTCAGTTCAGTATGTAATTGATTACCAGTTCATGCATATGCATTATGTTAAAGCTTTGACTGCATATTTTAACACCAGGAATGAGACACAGTATTTAATAAATATTCATTTCATGAGGCTGCCATATTTCAAACACCCCCCTCCCCAAATTACACTCACCTCCCCCCAATTCCACAGGCACAAAAATTTTTCTTTGCCTTTGAAAATGAAAAGTACTGATTTCCAAGGTCGGTCCTTTTTAGATTGTTCCTAGGTCTTGCAAATCAAAATGGTTATTTTTACCTCATCATGGTCTTAAACAGTGGGATAAACATCCAGATTTAACATCCTGATGAAATGTCTACCCTTCCGAATTGTTTCAGTGTTAAAAGATATTTTCTCTGTGTAGTTTAGGCATACTTTCTGAGGAAGCATCATTAAGATATTGTCATCTTTTCAGTCAGTTGCTTGTACATTTCATGCCCTGCTGGTAAAACTTGATCCATTCACTGGATCAAGCCTAACAGCTTCGGCATGTTTTTCTAATATGTTCCTTTTCTCTCCCGGAAAATTCCTCTGCTTTGACCTCTGACCCCTATTCATTCCGCCTCTTTCTCGGCCTAGGATACATCCTACCTCTGTCGTGAAACTTTTCCCAGGAAGTGCACTGTCATTAAGCTCTTTGATTTTCTGTAGTACTTAGTCTGTTTCACCTCATTTAGATTGTGTTAACTTGTGTCATTTTAAAAAATGATTTTAGTGTGTTACAATGGAGCCTCCCAGGGAACATGCATGTATAATGGAGCCAGATAGATTCTGATTTGAATACTAGCGCTTTCATTTTCTAACGTTTTTGGCCTTAGGCCCAGTATTTCAGCTTTGTGCGTTTCAGTCTTCTTAAGTGTAGAATGGGATAATTCTCTGCCTTTTAGAGATGGTAGCTAATAGGCTGGGTAAATGTTTAGCTCAAGGGCAGGAGTATAGCAGGTGCTCAGTAAATGGCAGTGGTCATTGTTACTGCTGCTGTCTATATTTCTTACAGCTCCTAATATAACACTGAGCTGAGCATGTGGGAAGGTAGCGTTGAGTGTGGTTCACGGCTAGGTCACTCAAATAGCTCCTGAAATCCCATCACTTTTATGAAGGCTTCCTGTTGGCTCTGGTCTATCAGAACTACAGACCTTCCATGGCTTCTTGGGACTGTTCTTTCTGTTCCCATTATCTGTAAGGGGAGCCTCTGGTATGTATCCTGAAGTGGCTTCCAAAACAGTGATTTGCAGGATTTATTTATTTATTTTTGAGTAATGTTTTGGATTGATCCTTGCATTCTTCTAAACGTCAGCAGCCAGGATCGTCATAAATAAAGCATTTTTCACTTACTCCAAATGCAGTATGTGAAACTCACAGAATAAAATCTCAGCCAGTTGAGCTGCAAATGAATAAATTATTTTGCCCAGCTCACTTCAGCCCAGCAGACATTTATTAGCATAGTTCCTGTGTGCCAGGCATCTCATAGTTGCAGGATTTGCAAAGATGACCAAGATTTGGCTCCTGCCTGTGAGTGAGAGACATACAAACTGGTCATTTCAATCGATAACTAGTTGTAAGGTAGAGGTAAGGATGGGATCACAGATGGGAGGGTGGTTGAGGGGGAAGGAGAAGACTTCTAGGAAGATGTGACCCTCAGCCTGTGATGTCTCTCAGAGGACAAATGGGATAATCCACCTGCTTCAGGGATGGAGACCCAACTCAAAGGCTTTAATATTTTTGGGAATTTATTGCCTGCAAAGTTCACAGTAGGATTGACTCCAAGTGGCTTAAATGTCCTCATCGCCCTGTCTTAACGTGCCCGTGTAAAAGTCAAATGGCCTCCGTGATTCCAGACCTGATCCTCCTCACACAGTGCTCCTCAAGGGGGAAGAGTAAGTGTTTCTCCAGTTCCAGCTCAATCTGAGGATTCCGTTTCTCTCATAAGCTGTAAATTATACCTGTCCTTGAACCAATCCCTGTGACTAGTGGGATACTAATTGGTTTCTGTAAGTCAGGGCCTACCGTCAAGCTGAGAATAAAGTCAGTCTCATTCAAATCTCATGGCTAATAGTCACAGTAGAAGCCCACACCTGAAACCTATATGATCATATTAATCAATGTCACTCCAATAAACTTAATAAAAAAAATACAAACCTCTTGGCTAAAGATAAGTGGAGAAGGGAATGGATGACCAGGAGGCAGCTAGCAAGTGTTCCTAGACCAGGGGAAGAAAAGTGAAAGTCTTTTGGGGAAAGGTAATAATATAAGCAAAAGCAAGGAAGGGTGCCCATCACAGTGCGTGTGGGAAACAGCAAGCAGTTACACGCTAATTCAACAGGTAATATGAGACATAGAAAATAATTATAAAATAATAATGTGATGATATATTTACCGCCCGTTGGATCTAGGCTCCATACATTGTTTCATTTAATTCTCACAACAACTAAGTTGGTTTGCCATCCTGTAGGTAAAGAAATTTGAGCCCAAGCTCACAGCTAGTAATATCCAAGGTAATATGGAATAGTAGTTACATTGCTTTCTGTATGTGGTAAGTGTGGGTTAGAAATGACCACCTAATCAGAGGACTGACCTTTTATTTATTCCCTTAATGAGTAGCCTCACTGTTCTCTGAACTAGCCCTTCCCACATGATCACACCAGCGGAACATGAAAAGTTCTAGCCACCTGATCTTTCTCAGTGCCATAGAAATCATCAGCATTATCATCACCTCAGGAAATTTTAAAAACTGCAGATTTTGTAGTTAATACTCACAGACTTGATAGAAGACACTTCAAAATCACTCTGTAGTGTCGGACAATCAGTGATTAGTATTTTTCATTATATGTATTTTTACTCCCTGCAGTGCTTACCATGTACTTTGTGTAGGACTGGTGACCAGTACGTGCCTGTGGGTTTGCTGTGCTCTGTTTCACTGGTGTCTTCGTCATTTGAAAGTATGAGGCTGACATGATGAAGACAAGCAGCCATGTGCAGAAAGAGCGGTTATATTTCTGATTTTGGGAAAACTGGTATCTTGCAAAGAGTCGTGATTGCTATTAGGGATTATCCTGAGCTAGAGACTTTAGCTCACAGTCAATGAAAAGAAATGTATTTAAAATGATAGGCATCTGAATCCTTTAAAAATTGGGAAGTGTATACATACTGATATATAATAACCTGATAGCTTCATCAGTTTGTAATTTACAGTGTGAACTGCTTATTTTACCCCTTGGTGGGAAAAATGAACTATGACATATTTGTGATGGGTAGTGATAAATTATAACCATTAGATTTAAGAATAGGTGACCTAATTTCCTCTAATTCTTCTTTAGGTCGAGATTTAATTTGTATCCAGTCTATGGATGGGATGCTGATGGTGTTCGAGCAGGAAAGCTATGCCTTTGGGAGGTTTCTCCCTGGTTCGCTCTTGCCTGGCCCTCTGGCCTACAGTTCCCGAACAGATTCTTTCATTACTGTCTCCTCCTGCCGACTGGTGGAAAGTTACAAGTGAGTTTGGATGTCCAGTCTTTGAAATCATGGTTTTTGGTGTGTATGTTGCTGATTCATTCTTTTCCACAAAGAGTTTGACTATCACAAATGAAGAAGAGCCTGTTTTTTGTTTTGGATAAACTGTAATTGTGGGGACTTAGAGCAGCGATTTTCAAACTGTGTGCCAGGGCACGGCAGTGTGCCGCAAGAATTTTTAACACATGCAACACCTGACTACTTAGTCAGGGCACTGACCTTTTTTCCCTTAGATTGTCAAATTAAAAAATGGCAACAGTCAATACAACAATAGCTGTCTGGTGTGAATGAATCAGAATTATACCTATTTTTTTTGTCAGATCAGCAAAAAATACATTTTTTGGTGTGCCTCTGAGTTTTAGGAATTAGTTTGTGTGCCCTGAGATGGAAAGGTTGCCAGTCGCTGACTTACAGAGGTATTGGTCACGTACGGGAGAATATTTGAAAGGCAGTCGTGCGGAGGTTGGGAGGAGCGGTGTGTGGAGAGGCAGACCTGCCCGGGAATCCTGATGTTCCTCCTCACAGCTGTGTGACCGTCTGTCCTTTCCTGGCTGTACAAGGATCATCATGGCTCTTTGGGAGAGAAAGAACTCCCGAACACGGACCACAGTGTGGTGACGGTGGGGGCTGGGGAGGTGGGGGTGGAAGTGGGAGAGGGAATAAATGGTGATGGGGAAAAAATAGTAAGATAAAGGGGGAAAACCCCTGTCCAATTAAAAAAAAAAAGGCTGCTTAACAAGTTTTTTATAAGGATTAAATGTGCGTCAAGTCGTCACCTAATAGAAAATATTCAATAATTATTGGGACCGTTCCCTGAATTATAAATAATAAAACACAGTGTCAGTGAAAAAAGCCCGACACAGAGATGCATATATGGAATTATTTTATAACAAAAAAGGAATGTATGTGTACATCGGAAGAATACTGGCAAGAAATACCAGTGTTCTTGGGAATGTTTATAAAAGAGCAATTCATAATAGAAGCGAGGCATAAAAGTGACCCTGTGAAAGCAGCTTATACTTTTTGCTGGAAGCCCTTACTGATTTTGGTGACTTGTGTTTAGAGAGATAACTTTTTCTCCCCTGCCGGCTACATTTAAGTAAAAGTTCAGGTCTGAGTTTTTGGAGGGCGTGTTTTTTGTCAGAAGGGAGAATGGGGAAAGAAAGAAATCCATGCTGGGAAAAGAAATAGACTTGGAGACTTATAACATCTTCAGTCACTTTTTTGTTATCTTACTGATGGCAACTGTTAGAACTTCAAATGTCTAAGCAACACTTCATTATAGCTTTTTGGTATTATTTTTGGCTGCCCATTTTTCCCAAGGCAGGAAGAAAATATGAATTCATCAGACAACAGCTGTAAATTTTTTTGTCTTCAGGTTTCAATATTGTGTGTATATAGCAAGGTAATGCAGTTTCCCCCTCATAAGTGGCAGTCTACCTTTTGTGAATTATTGTCAAGGCATCCAGGATTGAAAACTCTGAAAAAAGGCAAATGTTTGTGACTAAGCAGAAGTTAACTGATGGAAGTAGTGTATCATTATGTCACATTTCTTCTGTAACTCCTGTGGCTCTTGTCCAAAGGAGATGAATGAATTGTGGCATTGCTACTGGTAATAAATAATGTATTATAGTTATCTTGAGAGGTTGAGAAAAATATCTGTATAATACATTCAAGCCTGTCAGAACTTAAGCAATATTGAGATCTGCTTTTCAGCTTTCCACCCAGTCCTGTGTCTCAACTCTTGCCAAGGAGTGATACTGGCAGTGCTACACAGGGGTCACAATACAGAGATTTGAACGCTCCATGACTTACTCTTTGAAATATGTGCATAGGAATTAATTTGGTAATAACTCCAGGAGTCACTGGATGAGGGAGCAATATGTAGGTTTCCTTGATGTGTAAATTTAATCTCACAGAAGCTCACACTGTTTAACTGTGGTGATTCAACATCCCAGTCTATTAAATTCATCTCCATCTAGGACTGAAAAGTACATACTTTTTATGTGGGTCTTTTATAATGGTAAAAATGCATGGGATATGGGATGATTATGAAATGATGACGATCGAGGGTTTATAACATTAAATAGTATGTTGTATTTATATATGCTTTCAAGTTTAATAGACAATTAAATTATAATCATGGGTGCAATTTAGGATGGGAGAAGGCATGAAAACTGCAGGTCTTTTGAGACTTCACTCAATATATTTATAATCAGTTAATAGAATGTAATCAGTTGGTATAAAAGCCTTCAAAGACAGAATTCATTTTCATTTTTTTCCTGAGTTTAATCTTCAAGCTTTAATAAGAATGGAAAAAAGTTAAATTGGATCCAAAGAAGAAAAATAAAAATGAGCAAGGTTTAGAAAATAGGAGGGATAAGAAAACATGGTAGATATTTAAGAAACAATTTCACTTACAAGAATTAACTAACAATTTTGACAAAAATATTTCTTATAAGAAAGTTTGTAGGACAAATGTTTTAAATTGTAGAGGGAGAATGGAAAACAACCTAAGTGATCAAAATAAGAGATCAGGTAATTAAACATCCATTTAATACTGATGTTTAATTACTTAAAAAACAATCTCAGTTATGTTCAGAGAGGAGGCCAGGGGCCTTTGACTTCAGTGTGCATAGATTCACCTGGGAAGCTTGTTATAAAACTCACATTTACAAATTCTCAACCCCCAATACTAGATTTTGATTTAGTACTTTTGGGATAAGTCCCAGAAATTGTCATTGCGTATACACACTCCAGGTAGGATTCTAATTCAGGGACACACATTGAGTGTTGTTTTTCTTTTAAAGTGAGAGAATTGTTTGCCTTTTTTGGAGAGGGTAGCTTAGGTACCACTGTTCTCTTGGCCATATATATTAAAACTTTGAATCATTTTTAATGATCTTTTTCTTTCTTTTCTCGTCAGAGTTAGTTAGTAAATCCTGATCTTTCTGCCCCCCCCA